GATACGACTTTTACGTTTGCTTTTAAGCAATCTGAAAGGAGGAAAGGAGGGCAATAATTATTTCAGAGGAAATAAATGTAACTGTAAATTCAATTCTAACTATTCCAGAGATTTTTCCCACGGAACGTGACTCAGTTTCTTTCATGAATCCGGCTATTTGTGGGAATTGAGTCATTTATCGGAACACATTCTCGTCACGTAAGCGTGCGTAGATCGGCGTCTTTCAATCGTCGCTTGACCTTGCTTTCAACTCTTCAAGTCTTGAGAACTCTGTTGTCTGATTCTTCCTAACGAACGTCTATATAAGAAAATGAAAAACACGATGTGTCATTAAAATTCGAAACTTGGCAATGTACCCAATAAGATCCGCACATGCCTTTCGATTTATTATCTCTTAATACTTTCTATTTTTTTATATCTTAAATTCATTATTTTCTGGCATTTAAGTCTTTCTTGTTCTTCTCCTTTCGCTCTACTGTTACCTATTTTATCGAATCTTATTTTGCAGACTATATTAGTATTGTACATACATTTTTATTCAGATTTTATGTATTCTAATTTATTTAAATTCTTTGCAATTACTTAATCTATCCATAAATTAATGTTTGCAATAAAAGTTGTGATGTTCACGTTTACTTCACTTTTTCAATTATGCGTGCTTTGTTACATGTTGGCGGCATAAAAAATTTACCAATACATGGGTTAATGATTTTTTCGAAAAGTCGTAATAGTGGTTTAATTGCGAGGCCACCGAATGTATTTGGAGAAAGCAGGAGCAAGCCTCACCGAAGCTCTCGAGGCTTCCTCCCATCGGATCGGGCAGAACTTAATTACCTCGGCGGGCTGTATGCGGCACCGCCAGCCACTCGAAGGGTGAAAGGGCCGCAGGGAATACCTCCCCTAGCTTCGACAAGGCCTAACTAGCGATCCTACGTGTTCTAGGTAGCCAACCTAGCCAATAAGAGACCAAGCTTTGTAATATCGCGCATCCATCTACCTACACCTACACTACTATCGCGATTCTTCTCGCGGAGGAAAACGAGCTCTCGTTCCAGCATAGGTTCGGCCTGTTCATTCGGCTCCGTAGATCCTCGCGAACTCGCAATCTTCGGAGATGATCCCCCACGTAATACGCTCGCCGATTGCTCGTCAATCGCGTCGACAAAGTCGATCTCGACCAATCAGCCCGGAAAGACGGCGAAAATGACGGCGGCTTTGTCGATACCACGGCGATCCGTATCGCCTGCTCTCGGTGTGTACGGCATGTATGTGGCGTGCATATACGTGTATGTGTGTGCGTGCGAATGCGGTGGTAGCTGTGCGCTCGAAATGGGGTGACGTTGGCGGGTGAGCGCCGCACAGTGGTCGAGGGTTGTGCCGTGGGGTAGAGACGTGGAGGGTGGGTTGGGTGGTTGCTGGTAGTGTGTATTGATCGAGCGAGGAGAGGAGCAGCCCGACTCTCTTTCTCTCTTTCCCATTCTCTCTCTCTCTCTGTCTCTCTTTCTCTTTCACTTTGCGCCGCACTCCGCGTGGACGTCCATCTACCTACACGGTGTTTCGGCCGTGCGCCACTTTTTCCTCTCTGGACTTTCTCTCGCCTTTTTTCCCTCTCTGCCTCTTTCTCTTTTAACTCCCTTCGCGCAAATCGCCCCTCGCTGATGTCCACGTCACGGTCGATCGGCCGTTGTTTCTGCCGATCGACAAACACCGACAGCGAATTATAGACGCCCAGGAGGGCCCGATACCCGACCTTCTCGACACTCTGCAACCTCTACGTTTGTCCTTCCTTCACTCACTTTCTCTTTTTCTCTCTCTCGTTCGTGAAGCGTTTGTCGGATTCCATTAATAAGGGAGAGCCGATCGTCGGCTATGTGGATATATTGACAGAATGCAGGGCGCGTTAAGGTTCGACGCGACACGAATCCAAAGGATGAACTCTCTCAAAGGATGAACAATATTATTAAGGCGTCAGTATTTAAGCTTCTCTTCTCGTGATTTTTTCTTGTCATTTCATAATATCTTTTCGTGCTTTATAATTGCGGAAACGATTCCTTTGTCTCGTGCCTTACCTGACGATTTAATTCACGCTTCCCTGAAAAGGGTCGCGATTTATGACGATAGTAATGTAATCAAAAGATAATGATCCGCGTTCTCGAGCAGAAACCATAAAATTATGAATACTGTAATCATGGTGGCAGCGCGAGATAGACACGAGCGGAAAAGGAGGGGGAGGCTTGCCGGCGTAATTTACGACCCAGCCAGGTGCGTCAGAAGTTGCTCACCTTACGACCTAATTGGGTTTAATTACACCTGACTGAAAGTTACGGCGATGCGCGCGTGTACGCTGGATTACAATTACCGTCCCGCGGCAGCTGATTTAAGTTGTATCGCGATCAGTTTATCCTTGCTTCTTGCCAGCTAGCGCGATACACCGTGAATTTCCCAAAGGTGTGTGCGCGAATAACTAAAAGATGTTCTTTTTCAAGTTTTCAATTTCTCCGACACCTCTCTTCTTCTCTCTTACACGGTTATTAAACATCTCTCCTATTTCGTCCTATTTCGTCGAGGTGTCGCGTTCCGTTATCGCATTGTCATCGATTCGCGACCATCCGAGACGAATCTCGGAATGTCTCGGGTCTCGGCCTCTCAAATTGACCGCCATCGTCGTCTCCGTTCAAGACGATCGTTGATCTTGTAACGCCATATGGAACACGTCGATCGATCGACGCGACCGGTGTCAATAACCCGATATTCTCGATATACTACTACCGTCAATCCCGGGGATTAACGGGAATTAATAACGATCCTCGATTATAGCGTTATCGGCGAGAACTGAGTTAACGTTCCTCGAAAACGAATTACGTCAATGCGTCAATATCGCGATTTCATTTCCGATAAAACGCTCGTCGGTCCTCTCTCGATTCCCCCGTACCCGATACGATATTACCGGAATTAATAACGCGTTTAATAACCGAGCGCGCGTCACGACGCTCATAACATTTGTAATTCGATAGATCGTTGCGTCCGATCGTCCGGCGACTCGACGTATCCGCGAAATTCCGGGGAGGAGTGCCAACGATGCCGAAAGGATTCCCCGGGTGTTAATCGACGATCGACGTCGGTATTCGTCCCGCAGACACGTCCCAATGTCTCATCGATCGCGTTCTCGCGCCCTAATACAAAATACAAAGGTACTCCCCCGAAACTTCTGGCGAATTTCCAAGGCACCCCTCGTGCCGTCGCTAACCCACATATTTACGCGAAATTATGTCGTTCGGTGTCGCGTGTCGTCGTCGTCGTCGTCTGCGTCGCCTCTTTTGTAAATTCAATTACATTTTGTTCTTTTCTTTTATGGATGCTATAAGGCTAAAAAGTTATGCCGCTGCCCGATTTATTCACGTCTTCGAGCGGCCTTCTTCAACCACGTTCGATATTTTCTTGACGTTGCAACACGCGGAGAAAAGTTCGAAAATTTCTTTCCATCGCACGTTACACGCGCAGTTCTCGAAGTTACAAGCGGCGAGAAGTAGGTTCGCCAATTAGCGGCACGTACGAGAAATTATCGCGATTATTATCGGGCAATTAACAAAGTCGGGGAATACCGAGTGTGTATCGAGTGTGCATCCGCCCGATTCCTAACGAGGATTGTGTAATAGATGTGACGCAATAACGTAGCAGAAACTCAAATTCTTGTTAACAACCGCGCAATCTTCGCTAAAGGGAATTGAGTCTGATCGCCGATAATACAGAACGACCCCTGCACTGCACCCGAGAGCGTGGCGGAAGGGTTAAACGAAAGGGGAGAAGCAATAAGTGTCACGCAGCCTGCACCTGCGGGATAAAATTTCAGACTGCCAGGCTAAACGAGGATGCACTTTAATAATTTTATTAATCATAAAGTTTCTATAAAAAATGACGGAAACTTTTTGCTATAATGTTACTACATATTCCTTTATTTACAAATAAAATAATTTCTCTTTGGTAACTTCGATAAAGTTGTTGCAGATTGTCTATTTGATTGATGTAAAATGAAATAACAATTGTATATGATTCTACTAAATTTGAAGAGAACCTAAAGAGAGAAACAGTAAATGTGTGTCGTTGTTCTTGCGCAAACATTTTTATTTCCGTTCACTCTAAAACTTTTAACAGCGTCTTTCGAGCGGAGTAAGTCAAGTCGACGCCGAGGAAAAGTTTTCGCTCACGGACTGACATAGCTGGTTATAATCCCGCCGATTAAAGACCTCGAAGTCTATATAGAATCCCGTATTCCTTGAGTGCGTTCAAAGGGAACCGTGGGCCCTTAGGTACCACCTCTAACGCCCGAACGATACTCAAGAGAGGCAGCTGGCGTTAGTCAGCAAACCGCTCGACTAATCCCTTAATTACTTCGACATGGTTAGCGACCCTGTACTAACCACGTCGGTGCCTGGCACTGTTCCCCGATCGTTAATTAAAATGCCTTGCAGCCGCGCGATCCCCATCCGCGAGGAAAGGAGTGCGTGCGCTCGCAGGGAGAGTACATCCCGGAGTTAAACGAGTATAAAATAATAAATTACATAATATTTTATTTTAATAGCGCTTTGCGTCGACTTCGTGGCTATCGCGCTTAAATTATGCCACGCAATTTATAAAAAATATGTCAAAATATATAAAAACAGATATCCGCAATAACGAGCATTTTTAATCATTTAGGATTAACATTATCGCGACAATAATATATCGTACTTATTTATTAAAAAATACCAAACTAATATCTCTAGAAATATATAGTAAAACTTAGTAATTGAATATTAGAAGCTCAGCTTAACCCTTAAATGCTCGAATCTCTTTATAACAAAATGATCCAACGTGAACGATGAAGGGAATCGCTTAACCGTTTAACCGTTTAAGGGTTAATAAGCGAGCGATGCTCGTGTAATTACGACAGGCATTGCCATTATCCACCAGGTACATTCATATTCCCCTTGTAATTCGTTGCATGAACGATGCTGATTCAGGTACGGCTGCGAGGGTGTGGCGGAGTCCGCTCTCGTCGACGACACCCTCAACGGGAATCCCCGCTCGTCGTCCACGTCGTCGTCGAGCGCGATCCTGCCTCAGTCTCACGCCCTTCAGTCGGAATCCGCGGGATCGATCGACGCTACGGACACTTCCGGGTCGAGAAAGTACGTACGAACACACTCCCTCGTGGTCTCGTGATACCCTATTTCCCCCACCCACCCTCACCCCCCTTGCAGATAATGATCCGCTTGCCATCACCGTCCCATCGCTTCCCTTTTGTGTGCCCAAGTTGTTGCTTCTGTTTGTTTTCGCTGTAACGAACGACGTTCTCTCATCGAAACGGAACGCCTCCCGTTCTCGCGCAAGCGAGATCCTATACAGCAGATTGCCGCTGCTGTTTGTAGACGTGTACTCGCGTAGTCGCTTGATACTGCGCGACGGATACGAGTATCGAGGGTGTTAAAGGGACGAATCGCGAGCGTTGAGCTGAGAAATCCGCACCGACGTCCGAGCAGCGCACCACTATATGCTTGGCTTCGATTGAACCGCGACGTTGCATCGCATGTCAACGTAAAATTTTCCCTATCTTGTGAGAGAGAACGTTGGATTTATTTTCACGCGATTTGTTTCCGCGATACTTAATATTTTTTACGACGACGTATAGGAGTGCGTATCTCCGGGCACAATTTTCCGCAGTTTTGTCATCATGCCCTCTTGGCTTCCGCGCGTTGATATGAGGCGCGATAATCAGAAAGTGAAATAATATTATTTGTTTAGGACACTCTAGGACCCTTGTATCACAAAGTAAAATAGACTTTTCCAAGATGCTTTCTTCTGTGCACCTTGTTTTAAAAAATGCATAGCACTCTGTTTGCGGTGAAAGCGAATGAATAGTCAGTACGAGTGCGACGTTACATACAGAAAATACGCGAGTATTGTCTTGCGCCAGGGCTTGCTTCGTATTGCATTTGTTCACGGTGTGAAATCACGATAACAATCACGTTTCTGCGCTGACGTTGCCGCAATGCGTGATAAATGGACTATGATGAACAGTTCTGAATGATTAGGGACCATGGAACTGTCCTGCGAGCACGTTTAGCGCGTAAAGCCGGATATAGACAAAGCAAACGAGCGCGAACAAACACATATGTACAGAGCTTGCTTGAGATGAGCTCCAACGGCGCCGTCAGTACTCAATGCGAGTCGTTCATTCGTGTTTATTCACGCTCGTTGGCTGCGTTTGATTCGGTTTGACTGTTGAAATTTTTTTGTTTGTTAAATTAAACATCATTTTGCGTTTATCTGCAAAACATTCCGAGTGTGGGATTACGCTCGAAATCTCTCCTCACTTATAGAACGTACGCTTTGACGGACACCTGTTACAATCCCTTCACCGCGATTTATTTCCAGTCATTTCAACTTTGTGCGTGGGTCCCTCAGCCCCTCGCGAACGCACACGGTACATAATTCTACATCATTTCCAACTACGAAAGCGTAATTTCTCCTCGCCCTCTCGCGCAAAGGACGTTTTATTTTACAACCGCCGTAAATAATCTCTCCTGCCCGGCCGGGACTCGTGTCGCACCCGAGCTTCGATTAGCACGCGAGGATTTCTCGTGCGGCGGCGGTTGCGATAACGCGGTGCTCCGTCGTCGGTGGGAACGATATAGCGGTTTTACGAGCGAGACGATACGGCCGATCAGACGATCTAACGAGCGGAAATCAATTTGTCATTCCGTCGTGGCCGATGACACGCGTCCTCTCCGCGAATGCCCAACGAAACGGCGCGCGACCGAGCGATTCGAGCGTTTCGCGAGACGAAACACGGTCGGACGAAACGACGCGATAAATCAAGCTGCTTATTTCGGCGATCGTGATTCGCCATGAAACGTCGTGAACTGGAATTCCCCGAAGTCACGCGAGCGCGCGACCACAATCGCGTTCTCATGACGAGTCGCGCGATATAACACGACGAGAGAGGAAGAGAGAGAAAGAGCGGACAGAATTTCAGTGGATAACGCTGTCGCGTGACCGCCTCGTGACGCTGCAAGACAAATTTAAAGAAATAAAACGCAGTCGGGTCCGGGAAATCGTCGTTAAACGACATTTTTAGATCCAAAGTGAAATAAAAATGAACCTTTTTTTTTCGAAGTTGCATATTGCAATGGAATTTGTAGCTTGCACTGTATATTATCGCTAGTTTCCTTGTTGAACCCAAGAGCTGTGACTCGCTACTTCTGCTGCAGTTCTTACAAGTTGTATCAATTTTTATTAACGCTAGCTTTAGCTTTTTATTTTTATTTTTGTACCACAAATGCACGATAAACGCAGAAGATAAAAATATTTTTACGAATGTACGAATTTGAAGATGTGCATTTTTCTTATTGCTTGTGATTGCGATAATGAAAAAAAAATTATGAATATGCCTGTTTGAAGAAGTAGCCAGATTCTTTAAAAATTGTCCGAATTCTCGAGGCTTTCTTTAGAGTCGTTTTTTCTTTAACCAAGAGTCTAGACTTTTGTATTGCTTGAGTATTCAGTGGACATCGCGATAGCGCAATTGAACCTTCGAAGCGAACCGAAACGCCGTTTCTTGACCCTGGTTTTTCTTGGCTTTGCACCACAGTTATTGCGAGAAACCCGACAACGAGACCGCAGAGATGGGCGGCGTGCCGCACGTGGAGGGTGGCCTGAACAGCGAGCTGTACGCGGTGCCGGTGAAACGGCGACAGCCGAAGGACCAGAAGAACAATGCGATTCTGCAGAACAATACCCAGGAGAAACCGTCGGACGTGGACAGCACCGATTCCGAGGATAAGGACGAGAACCTGCCGCCCGGCTGGCAGAAGCACGAAGGTAGATATCGGAGTGGAGCTACACCAAATAGCGAAAAGGAGCGAGTTTCAAATAATTAAGAAGATTGCCTTCAGTTTTGTTTCGATCGTTTTCTATATTAATCGCAAAAAATTTTTTAACTCGTCAGGAACTTTTAGATTCTCTTGTGTGAGCAGGAATTGGGTTAGATCTATTAATTATATCGAGATAAAAAAAACGAGATGGAAATGAATGGAAATGTTGACGTGGAGAAATAAAAATTTTCCAGATTTTTCAATAATTGTTTTCGAAAGTCCAGCATTTTCTCGGAAGTTCCGGATGCTTGAGCACATCACGACGATCGATACCGGTGTGCCGGAAAAAGCTCGTATTTAACGTTAAATGCAGCCGTATACGATTATCAGTCCGTGATAGCGAGTGCGATTTTCGTATCAAACCGATGCTTCCGGAAATGTGGCAGGGATTTAGATAATACTCGGTAGAGAAAGAAAATCGCTAAAGCTCGAGATAATACGATATAAAAATGAGTTAAGTTAAAAATACATTTAACAGATGCGATATCGACGTTTCCCCATTTTTCCAGGTTTTTCGTTTTATCCATTTTTCATGTCTACTTTTATTAATAAAACGGTATTGATGAAATTGATAATCGATAAATTAGTTATCGCGGCTATCATAAATTGTAGCTTTCGAATTTTATTGACGATCGGATCGAATGCTATTTTAGATGAGAATGGACCTTATTATTGGCATGTAAAAAGCGGAAACATACAGAGAGAACCGCCGGAGGCTCCTCTGCATTTGAAAACGGAGGCGCGTCGGAGCCTCGTCAAGGATAATGATAGCGTGAGTAAAATAATCTGCTGAAATATCTTAAAATCACGTAACGTATTTTATTGTACACGAATAAATTATTAGTAAAACGCACATTGTTGTTAATATATATATAATATACGTTATCACGTGTATTAGCTCGCGGTATTCTATGTCTCATATCGTAATTTTCGTTTCTAACGTTAATGTTGTAGATAAACAATTTTCACACTTTGAGCGGTATGGTGAACACAGTAACTCGCAGCAACACAAGTTCAGCCCTGGACCAGGAATTGGAGAACAAGAGGAAGGTGGAATTGGCGCTCAAGTAAGCGAACGTACTCCCGATTAGTCTACAAGTTTTTTTTTCACAGGTTTTTCCGCCTATTTATTTTTATTTATTTTTCTTTTTTATTTTCTCAGACGAAGAAGCTATCCTGCTAGAGCGGACTCCGAGGGCAGGGATAAGCCGATCAGATTCGCCGTGAGATCCTTGGGTTGGACGGAGATCGCGGAAGAGGATCTAACACCCGAGAGGAGCAGCAAGGCTGTCAACAAATGCATCGTGGACCTCTCACTCGGTAGAAACGATCTTTTGGACGTCGTTGGACGATGGGGCGATGTAAGTTTCTTCAGAAAGAAACTAAGTAGATTAAATTTGTATTATTAATCGTGAACTTAAAAATGTACGGGCAATGGAGAAACGATGACTCTCAGTGTATTTAACAAATGATAAAATCTAAAATGAGCTATATAAGCTGTAAAAGAATATTTATAGGACTTTTAATCTTTAATCCCTTAAATGGCTAGTGAGGTATACTGATTTCGATTTTGCTGCGCAATAAGCACGCGATGAAAGATATATTACGAAATATTTCAGGGCAAGGATCTATTTATGGACTTGGACGAGGGCGCGCTCAAGCTGATCGATCCGGAAAATCTTACCGTACTTAATACACAGCCTATTCATACAGTTAGAGTATGGGGCGTAGGAAGAGACCACTGTCGGTGAGTGAATTATTAATTATGTTCAAAATAATCAAGGCAAAATTAATTGTTTGAGAATATTGTAAAATCTCGAATTTTGCAATTTTTATATAATAAATATCAAACGTTATTTACACGGCGTATATGTTTATTCTACTAATATATTTACATCGTTTTCATGAATGTCTGCTTTTCTTTGGACGGATCTAATAGCGAAAGGTAAGTTATACAACGATGTAAATTATCGCCTGAAGTAAAGTAAAGAGTACAATTAGAGAGCAAAAACTCTCACCTTGACAAACATTCGATTTTTAAGTGCGTTATTACTTTCAGGGACTTCGCTTACGTAGCAAGAGACCGATCGACCAGGAAACACATGTGCCATGTGTTTCGTTGCGACATACCGGCGCGCACGATCGCAAATACGCTTCGCGACATTTGCAAGAAGATAATGATCGAGCGTTCCCAGCATCAGACTCTCGCGAAACCGGTGGACATCAACGGCCGGACGAGTCTCGCTACGAGACCTACGAATCTGCCCACGGAACATCGGCGCTTCCACAGAAACGGCCAGGCACTAGTCAGTAAGTAACCCAAATGAGTTGGAGTTAGATTTTTCGCTTTAGTATATCTCCAAAAAAATTAAATGTTTTATTAAACATATTTATCACGAAATACATTTATAAAAAATATCATATTCAATAAATTGACGAAAACATTTAATCTCCAAACAGGGATTAAAAATCAGATTCTAATAAAAAAAATTATTGCTTGGCAGTGACAGATAAGCTAAACAAGAAGTTAAATAATCTTTATATTTTTGCGCAGCACAATCTTTCCCAACACCGATGGAAGAACCGAAGAAGGTGTTGCGAGCACAGTATCTCGGATCCATGCAAGTTACTCAGGCGACCGGCATGGAAGTGCTGAACGAGGCGATAGAACATATCGTGGCGAACACGCCGATCAATCAATGGCGAAACGTCAACGTCGCCGTAGCTCCTAGCATGATTTCCATTCTTACGCCGAACGTGAGTAAATTAAAGGATACCGGCTTTCAAGTATTTGAAAATTAATGAAAGTGCAATCAATTATTCGTAACGATCGTAATCTTCCCAGGACGACAAACTCATCACCGAATGTCGAGTACGCTACTTGTCATTCCTCGGTATTGGACGCAACGTGAAGCAATGCGCTTTCATCATGCACACCGCACAGGACTTGTTTATCGCACACGTCTTCAACTGCGAGCCCAGTAGCGGAGCCCTCTGCAAGACGATTGAAGCCGCTTGCAAGGTGAGGATCCTCCCTCGAGAATCCCCCCGCAAATCCGCTTAACTAAATTGAGACATTAAATGAAGGAGATGTTTCCGTTTCTGTTTAAGCTGAGGTATCAGAAATGCTTGGACGCACATCCACAGGGCTTCAGAAACGCCAGCAGTCTCAATACTCCGAGCGGCAGAGGTTTAGGTGCGACTTTGAAGTCTCTAGTTGGATCTTTGACTGGCCGTAGAAGCAAGCAGGGCGAATCCTGAGACGAGGCTCTCTCGCTGCAGGTAAATTACTTTCGGATTATCAAGCTGTCCTCCCCAATGTTAAAAAGTTTTATCATCAATTAATCAATAATCTTTATCAGACCAAGAAATTTAAATAAATATATACAAAACATATATAATTAGTTTTCTCGTAACTATTACAAGAAAGAATAGAATTGTTGGGGACAGGAATATTTTAACACAAGCGGTTGAATATTTTGGATTATAATCAGATCAGTCCCCCGATTGTCCGATGTTAGGAACTCTGGCCACTGCCTGCTGAGCGAGAGGTGATTCGACACAGGCATCTGCAGTCGCCTTTGACGCTCAAGTACTTCGGCGGCTCGCCACCGAGCGCGTCCCTCAAGTCGTTGCTGTCACCCTCCCTGGACACCAGGCGTATCCAGTTCGCCCGTTGGGAAAGCAACCCGTAGAGAAGCACGGGGAGCGAGCCTGATGTGCCGGGAGGCGGCCATAGGGCGAATGGATATTCTCTTTACAACGTAAGCGACTGAATTTCGCGAAAAATTGCGCAGAGTGCTATACCAATACCACAGCTATAGTGGACTACGCTTACCTATGTCGATATGATGTTATGTATGTTAACGCAATGAGTCTGATGAAAGGAGGGAGGGTGTCGCGAGTTTGTCGCGTTTCGTCGAGAGACAGGGACGATATCGAGACGCGTTGATCCTATCGCGGAAATCCTTAGGAGGCAGCGTATATCAGCTTGTGGGCAACATTCGCGAGAGATCAATGAGTAGAAAGCTTGGGGGAAGGGTAGGGGAGGCGGAAATGGGGAGAAGAAAGCGAAAGAATCGGAAGAGTTCGAAGAGCAAAAATTGTATATACAAGATGGTGATTATCGCGCTAGTTGTAAGTTTAATCAACTCGCTTGCTTGAGCGGGAGCGGGAGAGGTGAGGTGGAGGAGCCCCGACGGTGGGATCTCGCGAGCGAATCAAGTTGTGTATGTGTGTGTGCGTGTCGGAGAGTGAATGAGCTCTGCAATTAGCGTAGTAGTAAGCGTATATCCGCGAAGGCATTCGAGGTGATTCGAGGGGAGCCATAGAGAGCTTGCATATATATAAATATAATATATAACACATACACGTGCGTGTGTAATCTCGGGTTATACGGATTAAAGAAGCGAGATGAGGACGACGACTAGATTGCACGGAGTACATGCGTACACGAGTGCGGAGAACTTCCGCCCGCACACGCATATACATATATATATATATGCATACACACACGTACGTACACACAGGCCAGCACCGCGACCGGGTGCCTCTCGTGGACATCGTCGCGTTCTCATTTTGACGATGGTACGTCAATCGAGCGCGACGGATCCGGAGAAACACCCCGCAGATACACGCGCGCGCACGTTTACACGACGACCGATAGGGAGTTTATTTTTTATGGCGAATTAATAGGAGCTTTACGGGAGAGCTTTTGCAGCACCTCGGAGATCACGAAGCCGATACGACAAATACTTATACCGCGACCGTCCTTTAGACCAGGGGGAGGGCAGGGGGAGGAATGACACTTAGGCGCAAGAGATCAGTGGTGCGCAACGGTATCGAAGCCACATGCGATCGTAGCTGGTCGTTGTATGCGCAAATAACGTTTTACACGACACATTTAGAAGAAGCGCGATAATAACTGTTAAACCGGGAGTAACGACGATATTAGTAATTATTATCGTCCGTGATAATTGTTATCCTCGTAAGCGCAAACGCTAAAATGATAATTGTTACCGCTAGGCGCATCGTAGCACGACGAATCGCAGTTGAAAAAAAAAATCGTATGCATATCAGGCCATCGCAATTTCTCCGATCGCTACCCCAGAGAATAGAGACGCACGCTCGGGATGTACTGCTCGTATCAGAGACATCGTTTTAACACGAGAAACCGGCACGTACGAAGACATTCCCACAGCATCTAGACACACGTCCCACGCACGTAGGAACATGTAACGAGCCACGGGCTGCGCTTCGCACTAGCGAACGCCGCTGTCTGGTAGAATTTAGATAGCTGAGAACGTTACTTCGGGCACGTCTCGGTGGTAACACTCGTATAAATCCGATTGCATTGCACCGCGAATCCACAATACGTATACATTCACACGCGTGCATACTGATGACGATTAATGCGAGAAGGAGACTCACCGCTGTTTGCTGGTAACAGATACGGAACAATACGATTAGACGAGACGCGTGCTCCCTAATACACGTCTAATTTGTAATCAACCCTCCCTTGATTTCGGCCCGATTTTAATTTTATATGGTGATCATAAAGGATAGCTTGATACGTTAAGGATTTATAGATTGTTCGTTAAATTTCATCTCCCTAAAATAAATCCAAGTGGCACTTATCGACGATTATATCCCAGCAAACCTCAACTAACAATAACATTATATTCCATTTTATCAGAAGTTCTTGGACGAATTCTACAAAATATCTTTGCTTTCTGCTTATTCTGTATTATTATTTTATAAAAGGTCTTGTCAAGTTTAAGACTGCGGTGATCAAGTCTACCTTCAGTAAGGCATTAATCAAATCTTCCTCGATAGTATTCATACCAGGATTTCTTTGCATGCTGTAACAGTCTTTCTGATTTCTTATTGACTTGTTAAAAAAGTACTATGGATAATAATAAATTAGATCAATTAGCCAATATTAAATTTTGTCAAACTGAAAAAAAAACTTAAAGATATGTCAATGGTATTGTAACGCTTTTCTCGTATCATCGATTTTAATACTGGGAACAACCAAATGTCATATGGATCCAAATCAGGCGAATGCGGGGGGATATCAAGCGCAAGGTATTTCATTTCAATGTTTACAAAATAACATTTTATTTTGTAAACAAAATCGAATAATTTTCTATTGAGTTTTCGTAGATCACAAAATTTGCTGTCAGATTATATCGACAGGCTCTGTTGACAAAGCATTAGTTTAATGCGGACACACATCAGATAATACCAGCGGCTTAATTCTCGAAAAATATCGCCTACGATATATGAATATCACACTTCGCAACCATTAACACACTTGCAAAGTGTGATTTTCTAGTCACGAAAATCGATTATGCACCGGAGCACAAATCTAAGATTGTATGCGATTATTTGACCACAAATCACATCACAGTGCTCGAACACCCCCTGTATTCGCCTGATTTGGCTCCATGACTTTTGGTTGCTCTCAATAATAAAATCGAGGATAAAAGGAAAGCGTTACAATAATATTAAGAACATGGAACAGGCTTTGACTGTGGCTTTAGAGGAGATTCCGAAAAGGGAGTACGATGACTGTTTCGAATATTTTTCTAATCGCTTACAGTGTTGTATTGGCTCAGAAGGAATGTATTAATTGAATTTAAAAAATAATTAACTTCTTGTAATTTTTTCGGTACCAGTCGCACTAAAGCTTGGACAGCAACTGTGTACAATTTATGTAGACGTAATCTTGAAATTTAAGATGTAACGGAACTTACGACAATCGGAATTGTTTAATTATATCTGTTATGTATTGGGATCGGTAATAAGTAGAGTATTCGTAACCAATAAATGTATATGTTGAATATATAAACGTGTGTCACGATCGACGTCCGTAAGCAACCTGACTCTCGGAGCACACGCTCCTGTGACGACGTGTCGTACAGTAGCGTATTCTCTCGGTAGGAGCCCAAATATATTACAAGAACTTGATCCGTTCACTCCTTATTGAGATCTCAAAATCTCGGGTATTTTTTTTTAGCATTAAGCATTAAAGCAGTCGTTAGAACTTTATCAAACATGTCAAGAGCGAGCATTGGCACCGAGAACGAGAACGAGCATCTGAACAAGACCAACACAAAGCTGATCGCGGATGTAGAAGAGATGATAAATAAAAAGACCACTATATATGGAGAAAGAGCTTTATATGACGCTCGTGCGTTCGCGTAAAAGAGTCACGGTCTCGTGTACTTGGCGCGAGACACTACCGTGTTTCTCGATACGCTGCATGTATTATATATTACACATATTGTTTAGTGGGAAATTATAATGTTGATGAAATGTCATTCTTAGTTGATATTTGCTGGGATATATCCTGATAAAAACGAGTGAGACATGGAACTGTGAGCCACTGAAATCGCATCCTCCCATTTTCCTCGAGAGGCAGCCTTTCCCATTCGAAGAACGCGGTCCTCGTTGTCCTGCGAGGACGGTCACGTCGTACGAGCCATCGTCGTTGCGAGAGATACAAAGTTGTGCGGGACCCAGAACGAAGATATTTCTATGTAGCGTTATAAGTAAGAGAAAAACAAACAGAAAAAAGCGGAAAGAAGAGAGACAAGATATAATAGAGCGTTGCGGGAGTGTGTGCGTGAAAGGGATGAGTATGCATGAGTATATTGTGCTGATCAGGAAGGGCGATTATTATTATTATTATGTAAATAGTTCATCGCGATATCTCTCTCTTTATCCATCACCATCGACGCGAGATCCTTTCTTCTTTTGTTTCACGATTAATTATTAAAATTAATTTAATGTCGCGTAACATCGCGTTGTACAGTGAACTCGGGAGAGGAATCGCATAGCGGTGTCGCGAGGGGTTGAAGGAGCTCGACGCTGAGATTCGTTCCGCGAAGCTGAGTCGTTCCTGAGAATCGCGAATCCCGACGTAACGTCAGTTCGAAGATTCGCAGAAGCGAGAGTCTCGTGAGGGCAAATTTCCGCCCGCGTTTCCTTCAACCCTCTCATTTTTTTGTTCTTCTTTTTTCCCCCCTCTCAGAGGGAGAACAGCCTCGAAAAGCGCGCGAGAGGAATTAAGAAATAGTGTGGCTGTAAATATGATATACGTGTAGAGAGTAAGGCCGAAGCTATGGAATTTTCATCGGACAGACACGTTCACGGAGAAACGTCATCGCACCGTCCACGTGCCGATGCACCGATCATTCGCATTCACACACACACACATACACACATGCACACACGATCCTAAGTAGATACAGCCACGTGTGTGCACAGACGCGTACATGCGAAGGAGAGAAGAACTTACACACTCACACAAATTGCGCATTGCTTAACTGTCTCTTTATATAGATGTTGACACACGTCGTCACGGGGGGGAAA